TGTTATTTATTGCAAAGAACATAACTGCCAAGTTTCACAACGATCCGGTAATTTGTTTGAAAGTTATAACTGTTTTTTGGATTTTTTTTTTGGGTCATTCCGTATTAAATATACGTTTTTTAAATTTTTTTTATTCACCTAAAATAAAAGAATGCAATTTATTGCAAAAAACATAATTACCAAGTTTCAGGAGGTTCCATTAATTTTTTTTTAAGTTATAACTGTTTTTTGGAATTTTTTTGGGGTCATTCCATAATAATTATGCATTTTTTTCCTAAATTCCTACTTTTCGACTCCAAAGAATGTTATTTATTGCAAAGAACATTATTACCAAATTTTACAAGGATCCATTAACTTTTTTCGAAGTTATAACCGTTTTTTGGATTTTTTTTTGGGTCATTCCATAATAATTATGCACTTTTTAAAAATTTTTTTATCTATCTGCAATAAAAGAATGCAATTAATCACAAAAAATATAATTACCAAGTTTCAGGAGGGTCCATTAATTTTTTTCGAAGTCATAAGCGTTTTTTGGATTTTTTTGGGGTCATTCCATAACAATTATGCACTTTTTTTTCTAAATTCCTACTTTTTCGACTCCAAAAAATATTATTTATTGCAAAGAACATAATTACCAAGTTTCACAACGATCCGGTAATTTGTTTGTAAGTTATATTTGGTTTTTGGTAATTTGTTTATAAGTTATAACTGTTTTTTGGATTTTTTTGGGGTCATTCCGTAATAAATATACGTTTTTAAAATTTTTTTTATCTATCTGCAATAAAAGAATGCAACTTATAGCAAAAAACATAATTACTAAGTTTCAGGAGGTTCCATTAATTATTTTCGAAGTTATAACCGTTTTTTGAATTTTTTTTTGGGTCATTCCATAATAAGTATGCGCTTTATTCCTAAATTTTAATTTTTTCGACTCTAAAAGGTGTTATTTATAGTAATGAACATAATTACCAAATTTTACAAGGATCCATTAATTTGTTTGAAAGTTATAACCGTTTTTTGGATTTTTTTGGGGTCATTCCATAATAATTATGCACTTTTTTTTCTAAATTCCTACTTTTTCGACTCCAAAAAATATTATTTATTGCAAAGAACATAATTACCAAGTTTCACAACGATCCGGTAATTTGTTTGAAATTCATAACTGTTTTTTGGATTTTTTTTTTTGGGTCATTCCATAATAATTATTCACTTTTTTTTCAAAAATTCTATTTTTTTGCCTTCATAATCTAAATTTCAGAATATTTTTTTTTCACTGTTGGTCCAGTACTGACCATAAAATATCTTAAAAATCAGAACAAAAGTTTCTTAAAATAAGACATCTGTTTTTAAAGTGTATTTTTCTTCTTTTATTTGTGATAAAAATGTCGAAAAAATGGTAAATATGCATCTTATTTTTGTTGACATTCATAAGGTATGTAAGTTTTATTTATAATGGTATGGGCAAGGAAAAAAAAGTACTTTCTCTCTCTCTCGCTCTCTTGAGAAGAAAGATTCTGGGTATTTTTATCTGGAATCTTGTTTGAGAGAAAATGTTTGTTTAACGGAGCGAGACTGGAGACACAAGGTGGAAATAAATGAGGAAGTTTCTGGCAGGAAAAGGAGTTAATATAACCTTGGTGGATTCATTTCGACAGGGTTGAAATATTCCTTGAAACTCGTGATACTATTCCTCTCTCTATCCCCCCCCCCTCTCTCTCTCTCTCTCTCTCTTTCTGCAAAGCTTGATCTAAGAAAAAGGAGCCTTACGAAGCGTCTTGGAAAAGTTAAAGTACACCGCATACGAAAAGATCGAGCCCAGGGAATTCCTTTTCTCGGCTAGCAGGGACTTAAAAAAAAAATATATATATATATATATATATATATACTTTATTTTTCCTACACATTCTCTCTCTACAGCAAACTTTTCCACTCTATTAAACTTTTTCTTAATATCGATTTCCTCACATTTCAATATATATATATATAGAGAGAATCTTTAATTATAGAGGGAAATTATTCCAACTTTTTTTTTTTTTTTTTTTTTATAGTTTGCCAACATTTTTTTTTTCCACCCTCACTCAATTATAATTTATAATAGAATTAATAATATTATAAAATTTTTTTACTGAATATTGTGGAATAATTAAAGATAGATACTTTGAAACTTTAATATAAAAAATTTTCTAAAAATATAATATTTATTGGCGCATTTATAAATATTAATGTGATAATTTTGAATATAAAATTTTTTTAAATAGTTTTGATTTGACTATATTTATTTAAAACCACTAATTTTTGTATTTATTTTATTGTCTTGAACAATTATTATTTTTTGTTTTTTTTTCAGTATAATATTTATTCGAGGTTGTCCGATTATTAGTAGATTTTTCTACTTGTTTCATCTGAATTCGATATATATATATTGTCTGACTGTAAGTGATTTTTTTTTACTATTTTTTTAAAATAATTTTTTCTTTTTAGATTCAGTCCGACCATTGTTGGAATTTTCTACTGTTTCAATAATTTCTCTACTGTCTGACTATTACAAGGCTATTCTACTGTTTCTTCTAAATATTGCGCACTATTGTCTGACTATAATTGGACTTTTCTATTATATTTTTTCGAATTTGACACTGTCCGACCGTGATTGGTTATTCTACTAATTTTTCTTAAACATAGTCTGACTATTGTTAAATATTTCTACTGTTTTCCACGAATCTAATACCTATAATTATAATTTTTTTATTATATTTATTATAATATTAATAATATAATTTTTATAATAATAATAATAATAATACTAATAATAATAACAATAATAATAATAATAATAATAATAATAATAATAATAATAATCATAATAATTATAAAATTATTTCATAGATTCTAACTTAGTCTGACTGTAATGGATTTTTCTACTGATTTTCGTTCGACTCAGTCTGACTATTGATGGAATATTCTACTGTTTTATCAACTCCTTTACTGTCTGACTATTGCAAGGGGTTTCTACTTATTTTTTTCTCATACACAATCTGACTATTTTTACTCTTTTCTACTATTTTCGCCTGAATTCAATAATGTCTGACTGTAACGAACTTTTTCTACTAATTTTTCTTATATTCTAACTTTGTCTGACTATTGACAGACTTTTTCTACTATTTTTCTTTTAATTCGACACTGCGTCTGACCATAATTGGTCATTTCTACTGATTTTTCCAAACTTTTGGTTGTGGTAAGCAAATTTTGCTTTTCGTAACCAACTTTTTTGGTTGACGTTACTAAATTTTGATTGACTGAAACAAAATTGTAGAGTTATCTTAACTAAACATTTGGTTAGGACAACAAAATTATTTGGTTGAACATTTTTTGAACGAAATTGCATGATTACGAAAAGAAAATAATTTGTTTACGACAACCAAAAGTTGGTTACGACAACCAAAAGTTGGTTACGACAACCAAAAGTTGGCTACGACAATCTAAATTTGGTTACAACAACCAAAAGTTGGTTACGACAATCTAAATTTGGTTACGACAACCAAAAAATGGTTACGACAAACGAAAGTTGGTTACGACAACCGAAAGTTGGCTACGACAAACTAAATTTGGTTACGACAACCAAAATTTGATTACGCCAACCGAAAAATGGTTACGACAACCAAAAATTGGTTACGAAAAAAGAAAGTTGGTTACGACAACCGAAAGTTGGTTACGACAACCAAAAGTTGGCTACGACAATCTAAATTTGGTTACGACAACCAAAAAATGGTTACGACAAACGAAAGTTGGTTACGACAACCGAAAGTTGGCTACGACAAACTAAATTTGGTTACGACAACCAAAATTTGGTTACGACAACCAACAGTTGGTTACGACAACCAAAAGTTGGCTACGACAATCTAAATTTGGTTACGACAACCAACAGTTGGTTACGACAACCAAAATTTGGTTACGCCAACCGAAAGTTGGTTACGACAACCAAAATTTGGTTACGACAACCAAAATTAGTAACGACAACCAAAATTTGGTTACGACAACCAACAGTTGGTTACGACAACCAAAAGTTGGCTACGACAATCTAAATTTGGTTACGACAACCAAAAGTTGGTTACGACAACCAAAAGTTGGCTACGACAATCTAAATTTGGTTACGACAACCAAAATTTGGTTACGCCAACCGAAAAATGGTTACGACAACCAAAAGTTGGTTACGACAAACGAAAGTTGGTTACGACAACCGAAAGTTGGTTACGACAATCTAAATTTGGTTACGACAACCAACAGTTGGTTACGACAACCAAAATTTTGGTTACGCCAACCGAAAGTTGGTTACGACAACCAAAATTTGGTTACGCCAACCAAAGTTAGTAACGACAACCAAAATTTTATTTCAGCCCAACAAAAGTTGACTATGACCATCAAAATTTGGTTAGGCCAACCAAAGTTGGTTACGTCAACCAAAATTATTCCCGAAGCAAACAATTTTGTTGCAATTACAAAGTGTATAATTTTAAAATTTCTGTTTATATTTACTCAATATTTCAACCAAACTAAAGCTAAATTTTAGCTTTATAAAAAATTCCATTATATATATATATATATATACTTTTTATTCGCAAATTACGAATAAAAAAAAATTTTGATTTCAACTGCGCGCACAACTTTTCGTCATTAATTTCAATAATTATATATTGTCCTTTTTCTCTAATGTAGAAAATTCATTTGTTCATCGCTCGGTAGTTTTGTTTTTCAATTCGTTGCCTCAATATATATATATATATATATAATATAATCGTTCGTGTGGTTAGTCGTAGAATCCGTGGGCAGAAAGCAAGAGAGAGAAAGAGAGATAGAGGATGCTGTTGAAGGCCCTGTTCAAGGAAAGGGATGAAGAAGCGAGAGGGTGAAGAATCCACCCCCTGAATGCGTGGGTGTTCGAAAGCCAAGCGGTTGGCAACCCGGCGTAGTAGTCACAAATTCACTTGCGCGACAACACGCGCGAAAATCTTCAGTTCAACCACGACCGTCGTGCGAGAAGGCTCGGTCATTGAGCATATTTATATAGCAAACATATATAAATCCTTTACAAATTTTATCCCCACACTACGTTTTCTTTTTACGCAAAATTTTATCCTCAAAAAAAAAAAAAAAAAGATTGTGTTTTTTCATTTTTTGTGAAAATTTTTTATCCACAAATTATAAAAGGATGTAATTGACATGAAAAAAAAAAATTAAATATTTGCAAAAATGGCAACATATAGGCTTCTCTTTTTTTTGGTTTCCTTTATTGCTGTCGTCTTGGCAGGCGGTGAGTTTCAAGAAAATTGTCAATTTTATCTTATTGTACCCTCAAAATAAAAAAAAAAAAAAAAAAATTCATTCGATTTAAATAATCGGTTATACTTGACTTTTATTTCAAAATAAATATTTACTTGAGCCAAATTATTTCTGTATCTGAACCAACAATTTCTGTATTTGAACCAATAATTGCTATATTTGAACCAATAATTGCTATATTTGAACCAATAATTTCTATATTTGAACCAATAATTTCTTTATTTGAACCAATAATTGCTATATTTGAACCAATAATTTCTATATTTGAACAAATCATTTTTGTATCTGAATCAATAATTTCTGTTTTTGAACCAATAATTTCTCCATTTAAAACAAATATACATAACTGACTGAAATAACAATTATTTAATACAAATAAATTTTGATAACGAATTATTTGAATCAAATAAAAATTTTTTTTCTCACTGTATAGTAGTAATTTATATTTAAAATTTTTAATGACAATTGTGTTATTTTTTTAAAACAAAATTTTTTTGTGCAAATCAAAAATTTAAATAAACAATCTACGTCTTAATTTTAGTAACAACAACAATAATAATTATAATGGTACAAATAAGTGAAATATTTGTCTCAGAAAATTTTGCAAAAAAAAAAAAACCTTCGATATTTATCAAATAAATTGAAATCCAGGACACGAGTGCATTTATTTTTGTTTGGGAGAAACTTTTTGATATCTATGCAAATTTTTAGTAAACATTGACAAAAAAAAAAATATATATATATATATATTTGCAAATCTATTTGTATTTTTTTTTTCAATCTCAACATATCAACACATTCTGCGAAAACTATTAAAAAGCCTAAAAATAAATTATTTATCATTTTTATCAAAAATAATAATAATAATAAAATATAATAAAAAGAAAAAATTCTAATAATTAAAAAAAATTGTAAAAATAATAATAACAACAATAAAAATACTAATACCAATAAATAATAATATTGATATAAAATACTAATATTAAAAATAATAGTAAAAATAATAAAATTACTAATTATACTAATAATAAAAAAGAATAGTAAAAATAATATATAAAGAATAAAAATAACAATAATAATAATTGACGAAGGTTCGCTTATAACTTTATCATAAATCTAATGAAATTGTCTATATAGTATGGGCGTATTGACTTTCTCGGGGGTGAATAATACAAAAGAGTTTCTCTATTTATTTCGACTTTTGTTTCATTAAAAGCTAATTGTTTGATTAATGCCTTTTTTTTTCTCTCTCTCTCTCTTGGTAAAAAGTTTTGGTCAAGAGTTCTTTTTCGCACTCCCTCATTTTTCTCCCGGGTAATTTCTAAAAGAAAAAAAAAAGGAAAAGAGAAAAAGAAAAAAAAAGATCAGTTCAACCGAAAAAAAGGATTTATGTCAAGGCGTAGAATCTTGCGTCGTCGCTTTAATGCAAATTTAACGTGCCATTACAAGTAATTGAATAATCAACTGCCACAGCACGCTCTCTCTCTCTCTCTCTCTCTCTCTCTCTCTCTCTCTCTCTCTCTACATATTTCCCGCTGGAATTCACTCTCACACAGGTCTATGTAGAATCGAAGTAATTTTATTATTGTCGAAAATTTCATTATATTATCAGCTGTCGAGTAAAAATTTCATTTTCTAATTATATTTTCAACTAAGTGTGTCAACATTGAATATAATGTAATTTTCGTTTATATTATAATTTTATGTAAGTTGAAGTTCGTAGAGATTTCAAATGGAATTTCTAATATTTTTAATATATAATGCGTAGATAAAAAAGAAATAATAAAAAATAAAATAGACAAATAATTAAAAATATAATACACTGAAAAAAAAATTATTTTATACAAAATATAATCGGTTACTTGACTATATACACTGAGAAAAATGTTTATAGTCAGAGCAACCAAAATTTGGTTGGGCCAACAAAAAAATTTGGTTGGGCCAACAAAAAAATTTTGTTGGTATTTAAGCAACCAAACTATTTGTTTGAGTCAATCAAAAAATTTGGTTGAGTATTTTTTGTTGGTATAACAAAAATGTTTGGTTAGCTCAACCAAATTTTTTTTGTTAGGTTAAATACCATATATATTAAAATAATAATAATAATAATAATAAAAATAATAATAATAATAATAAAAATGATAATAATAATAATAATAATAATAAGCGAAAAATAAAAGATTAATTAATAAAAAAATGTATTTCAATCATTATCGGTAATACCCTTTTAAAGTTTGATTGATTTAATAATTTGCTTTTTGATTAAAATAATTTTATAAATAAAAAAAAAAAAAAAATTTTATGTTTTGTTTGATTTTACGATTGTTGAGAGAAAATATATTTAATCATGTAAAACCAAACAATCGTATTAGGACTTTTTATTATGAAATTATATATCGACAATACCGATAAAATTCAGTTTGAAAAATAATTATATTTGAAATGAAATAATTTCATTGTTTTCAAACAAAAATTGTGAATTCGAATTTTATTAGTTTGACAATACTGAGTGTAAAGCTTTTGATAACGTATGTCGGAAATAGTGAACGAAAGTTATTATTGATCATCAGTCGAATTGTTACACGATAACCGAATTTTTTTTTTTTTTTTTTTTTTTTTTTGTTCATATATGACTTTTCAATATTTTCCTTTTATTATTCTTGTTTCAATTTTTCTATAAGGGTCAAAATTTCTCAAAAATGGATCGTCTAAAATTTTCAAAATTAATTTTCAATGTCAAATTGTTTTTTTTGTGTCTTCTGTATGATAGTAGTCAATTTTTTTTTATACGAATTGTAAGAAATATTTTATTTAAAATTTGTAGTTAAAAATATCAAAAAAAAAACTGTAAAAAGAAAGTACGAAAATAGTACCGATTTTAGGTATTAAAATAGAACCAAAAGGCAATTTAGTACCTAAAGTTGCACTGTAAAAAAATGTTGCCGAGAAATTTAACTACCATTGGGTAGTTGACTAGAAAGTAGTTAAAATAACTACTTTTTTAGTTAATCTAATCATGTTGATGTAACTATTTTTAAGAAGTTAATAAGTAATAGTTGATTTTACGTAAATATATAGTTCAAGTACAACTACTGGTCGGTAGTAAAATTAACTTTCTTAAGGTAGTAAAAACAAGTGGAATTGTAGTCAACTCAAAATTTCAAGAGTAGTAAATCCAACTACTATTCACCATAGTTATATGAAATGTAGTAAAAGGAATTATTTTCTTTAATTAATATAACTGCTTTTTGAGTAGTCAATTTTTTATTAATTTCTAAGATTTTATAGGGTTCAATAAAATTCCTGTTGTAGAATTAACAAGTCGTCTGTAATTAAAACTACTAATTTAAGTAGTAGATTTTTACTATTTTAATTAATTCGATAAACTTAAAGAAGATTTTTCATGTAGAATTTACGAATCGTTTCCAGTTAAAACTACTACTTTAAGTAGTAGATTTTACTACTCAAAGTGGTACAATAGGCTTTAAAAACATTTTTGTTGTAGAATTAACAAATCCTTTGTGATTAAAACTACTACTTTAAGTAGTAATTTTTTACTATTTTAATTAATTCAATAAGCTTGAAAAACGTTTTTGATGTAAAATTTACAAATCGTTTCCAATTAAAACTACTACTTTCAGTAGTAGCTTTTACTACTTAAAGTGGTTCAATATAGGCTTTAAGAACATTTATGTCGTAGAATTAAAAAATCCTTTGCAATTAAAACTATCACTTTAAGTAGTAGATTTTACTGCACTATGCAATTAAACAACTTATAATATAATTAAAAGATGAAAAATTTACAAGTCAAAACTTAAAAAGGATAGTTATAGCAACTAATAAAAGTAGTAAAAATGACTACTTTAAATAGTTAAATTACCAATTGGACAAGCAGAAAGTAGTCTTCGAGTAGTTTGCAGACTGTCGTAGCGAGCGTGCGTGGTTAGTCGGTTAAGGTATCGGATTGCGAGCGTTAGGGTCGAGGGTTCAATTCCCGTCGGTTAGAAATTTTCTCTGTTAGGTACATAATCGTTAGGGCATAAAATAAGCGTCGGTATAGGAGAGAGGATGAAAAAGTCAATTCTACTGATAATAAACAATTATAAATAAAAAATAATTTTATTTTCCTATTTTAAGTAGTAAAATCTACTACTTAAAGTTGTAGTTTTAATTGCAAAAGATTTATTAATTCTACAAAAAAATGTTATTAAAGCCTATTGAACCACCTTTCAGTAGTAAAGTTTACTACTTAAATTAGTAGTTTCAATTGCAAAATATTTATTAAATGTACCAAAAAAAAGTTCTTAAAGCCTATTGAACCAATTTAAGTAGTAAAATCTACTACTTACATCTTGAGTTGTTTTAACATTTTTAAATTGAGTTAATACAATCACAAAATGTCATTCTACCAATTACATTTTTAATTGGTTTAACTATTTTTATATAGTTAATAGAACCGTTTAAATTCAGTTGACGACCTATTGTACTACTCAAGAGTAGTTAAAAAGTAGTAAAACCTACTAGTTTTTTTTTCAGTGTGGTATTAAATTAATACCTCTCATTTTACAATGAATATTTTTTATACAAATTGTAAGAAATATTTTATTTAACGTAATTAAAAATATCAAAATATTTTTTTTAAGTAAAAAATAATAAATTATGTGAAAGTGAAAATTTTGAATTCCAAAAGAATAAAGAAAGCTGAAATTGCAGTAAATAAGCTATTATTACCTGGAATAATTATTAAATTATATAAAATTTGTACAATTATCGTAAGGAAAAGAAAATTTGCTATCTCCGGAAATAATTTACCCTCGACTGTATATATATATATATATATACATATATATATAGCGAGAGAGAGAGAGAGAGAGAGAGAGAGAGAGAGAGAGAGAGAGAGAGAGAGAGAGAGAGAGAGAGAGAGAGAGAGAGAGAGAGAGAGAGAGAGAGAGAGAGAGAGAGAGAGAGAGA